TCCACGTGCACCATAATAAATAGGTGGATAGTTGAACTCGATCTATGTTATAGGTTGTAGGCTTCAAATTGCAAAAGTCAACCCACCAGTCTTGAAAAATTACACCTACCTTATTCATTTTCACCTATTCTCGTCCTGCCAATTTCTAGGTTTTTTGAGCCCTTGAGCATCTGAATAGTATATGTTCTAAATCCTCAATTTGTTCTCCGCACCAGCAACACCATCCATCAAATTCCACTTCTATTTTCAACAAATTATTCCTTGTTCCAATCCACCTGTACCAACACTTCCATAAAGCTTTTTATTTTTTGCCTGATTGGCAAGGCCCAAGTAACTCTCCAAACCTTCTGCATCTGCTTGGTCCCTGAGCTAGCTTCCATGTCCCCTTATTCTCTTCTTTTAGTTTGAAGAATTGTTCAGTATGCTTCTTTGACTGAGAATAGTCCTTTTTTATCTTGATGTCGTACTAACCTGTCTGCCCCTCCACCTTGGCTAATATGAATTTTCATGATCTTGCTGGCATCTGAGCATTGAAAGGTCTTCTGGATTATTCCACATCTCATTGCTTCCCATCAGGCATCATAAGATCAGACACCTTAATCAATCTATGCATATCTTCAAGAAAACATGATTTAGGTTTAAAAAATTGATACAATCACGAACCCAAGGTGATCCCCATATATTAATGCCCTTGCCATTTCCTATTTCGTATCTAGCACCCAACCTAAGAGACTGTCTAGCTTCCAACCAGCACTTCCACATCCATGAATCCGTGCTCTTCTTTTTCACATTCATCAACTTCTGATTGTAGAAGTATTTACCCCTAGCTACCCTACTCATCAAATTGTTTGGATTGGTAAGCACTCTCCACACTTGCTTCAGAATCAAGGCTTCATTCATGGCAGCAAAATCCCTATACCCCAGGCCTCCATCCTCTTTTGGCTTAGCAATTTTCTCCCATATAGCCCAATGGATCATATCTCTGCCTTGCTCATTGCTACCTCACCAAAATCCAGCAATAACTCTACATAATTCCCCACAGAAACCCACAAATAATCTAAATACAGACATGGTGTAAATAGGTAAAACATTCAACACAATTTTAATTAAAATCTCTCTACTAGCTTCACTTAAAAACTTATTCTTCTATCTGGTTATCTTGGAAATCACACTCTTTAACAAATGAGAAAGTTTATTTCTTATTCCTACCAATGCCAAGAGGCAACTAGATACCTAGATTTCTTGGCATCTTTAATTCCCTGATATAGTGTGCAGATATCCAATTTAGTAACTGGCCAGATGCTGAGCAATAAGAATTTATCACATTAAGCAGAGTAGAAGCATTTCCCATTGCAACTCAAAAAATGAGGGTGTCATCAGCAAAGAATGGATAAATATCATAGGAGAAAATTTGCTAATTTGTAACCCATTGAAGGACTGAGCAAGAGAGGCTTGTTTCATATCATTAGAGAAAGCCTCATACAAGATGATAAAAAGATATGGAGAGAGAGGATCATTCTGCCTAAGCCCTCTAGAAGGAACAACCAAACCAAGAGTTTGACCATTAAGATTGAAGAAAAAGAAGCAAAACTGATACAAGCCCATATCCAAATTAAAAAAGTATCACTGAACCCCATCTTCTTACAAACCAGAAACAAAAAATCCCATTCTACCCTGTAGCACTGTCAAACGGGCCGGTCCGGCCCGGCCCGCTCCGGCCCGCGCTGGCCCGCGGTCCAAATGGGGCGGGCCAAAATGACCCGCATTTCTACGGGCTGGAAAATACATAGCCCGTGGCCCGCCCGCTGGTTTTGTTTAATTTTTTTTATGGTATTTGCACTCTTATATATTTTTTGGTTTGTTTATCCTTATATTTACTAGTATATTAATAAACTAGTAAGGTTTCATTGTGTAATGATGTTAAATATTTGTCATCTAGTTTTTATTTTTATTTTTTTTATCAATAGTTATAGGGTATTCACGCGCAGAAACGACTTAATTGACATAAAATATTATTTGATTTATTAATATTTTTATTATGTAAAAAAAATGTTTCATGTGCAAGTTAGAAATTAGAAGTAAAATAAAAAAAAAAATACTAAATTTAAATAATTAAAAAAAAAGGGCCAGCCCGCCTCAGCTCGCGGGCCAAACGGAGCGGGCCAAATAGCCCCGCGATTGAACGGGCTGGCCAAGCAAAGACCCAAGCCCGTCCGTTTAAGCGGGCGGACGGGCCAGCCTGCGGGCCAACGGCCCGTTTGACAGTGTTACTACCCTGTCATATGTTTTCTCAATATCAAGTTTTAAGGCCAAGAAACACCTTTTTCCTTTTTTTCTACTATTCAGAAAGTGAAAACTTTCATTAACAATAATAACATTATCTAATATTTATCTACTGGTACAAAAACAGCTTGGGAATGAGAAATACAAACATGAAAGAACCTGCTCTAACCTATTAGCAATAATTTTGGCTATCAACATGTAGGTTATAGTGCATAAACTAATTGGCATATACTATGTGATGACTCTTCGGAATTTGGCGGATGACGAGGGGTTGCGACTGAGAAGCCCGCTCTTTGGTTGGCCTGCAAATCTCTAGCCCAGCCACCCTTTTGGCAGCGGGGAGGGGGAGGGGGACCCACGAGTTGAGGCCCGTTTTGACATGTCCAATTAGAGATGTCCAAAAGGCGGGTCACAACCTTGTTCGACCGGTCATCGGGCCTCAAAAGCTAAATCCAAAACCGAACACAGTTATACTAAGGGGCGATTCATTGAATTGTCGGTTTTTTAATAATAAAAAATAACTCGGAACTGTCTCCATACCCTGAACCGACAGGTTAAAAAAAAAAAGAAACTAAGACCCAACCGGCTCGATTTACCACAGGTCCGGTTCCAAGACCCGTAGGTCGAGACCGGGTGCGGCCGGGTACAGGTCGGGGTCGACCCTGGCCATCCCTATATATAATTTCAGATAGTAGAATATATATTTAAGGGAAAATGGTATAGATATAAAATCCCCTCCACTTGAAGTTAGACATGGCCACGGGCTGAACCGACCTGTGGCCCGACCAGTGAACCGGTACCTGCCCAGACCGAACCGGCACCGGTACCGGCATGAACAGTGGCGGGCTTTTGAACCGGACCGCGGCCAATGCAGTTCGGTTAAGATTCTCTTGTTTTTTTTTTACCCGCCGGGCCGGGACCGTTCCGGTTTTTCCGACGGGTCATAGTTGTTTTTTTATTTTTTAATTTTTTTTTTATTTTTTTAACCCGACGAACCGCCGGGTCGGGCTGGTTCAAATGAACAGGCCCATAGGAATTGCCTGGCCGGTTACGGGCCCAACCATTGAAGCCGGGACCCGGCACCTGACCATGTCTACTTGAAGTCTCCCAAAATCCTTTCTTTCAAATTCGCAGCTTTTGTTGCGCAGAAAATTATTATCCTTTCACGTTGAAGAGCACATTTTTTATCCATAAATTTCTCATAATCTGCAGACTCACATAATCCCAATTTGCCAGAAAGTAAAATCGGCGGAGCCAATCGCCGATGGGCATAACAACCGCCTCCGCCGACTCCGAATCGGCGATCCTCTTGATCCCCAAGTCAACCAATCCGGATAAGATCCCCAAAGATGCGTTCCACTTGGCTTACATAATATACTTCACATTGGGCGTGGGCTATCTCCTTCCATGGAACGCCTTCATCACCGCCGTCGATTACTTCGCCTACCTCTACCCGGGTGCCTCCGTTGACCGCGTGTTTGGCGTAGTTTATATGCTCGTGGGGCTCACGTCCCTGGTCTTCATCATCGCGTTCGCTCACAGATCCAACTCATATGTGAGGATCAATGTCGGGTATGTCTTCTTCCTGGTGGCACTGCTGGCTGTACCTCTTATGGATGTTTGGTATGTGGAGGGGAGAGTTGGGGTTTACGGTGGCTATTATGCAACGGTGGGATTCGTCGCATTGTGTGGAGTGGCGGATGGATTGGTGCAGGGCGGTGTTGTGGGGAATGCAGGAGAATTGCCTGAGAGGTACATGCAGGCTGTGGTTGCTGGAACTGCTGCTTCTGGTATTGAATTTTAATTTGGATTTTTTTACTTTGATTTTGTTTGCTTTTTTTTGGGTGGTTTAGTGTCATGATGATCGGTTCTTGATTTCACGTTTGGTCTCTAAATTTAATATTTGTGTGCCGTGATTTTTCTTTGCCTTATTAGATTGTTGGCAGCCATTGGGTTGCCCTTTTTTTTCCGTTTTAATTAATTGGTTTGTAGAGGATGCTTTTAGTTGGGTTTGGTGGAAACAGGTGAAGAGGTGGAGGGGAGCCTTTAATTTGGTGCTTTGTGTATCAGTGAACCTTGTATTTAATGAGTTTTGATTACCCTCTGTCTGGACCGAGTGACAACGACTTTAAGATCAAACCTAACTTGATCCTTCTGAGATGTGATTCAATGAGGTTCTCAATCTTGTTAACATATGTGGTAAGATTTGTTGTATATTAATGGTATGACTTTTTTTCTAGTGGCCTGTCGGAATTACTTCATGTTGACCGCTATAATGGCAACATGGACTCTTGTTACAATCAAAAGCATTTCAAAAAACTTGCCTTTTGGTATTATTACTAGTTCCTCCCGAGTCCGCCGTGTATGAAACTTTGGATCTATATTTGTTAAGAGAACTGATTTGGTTGGGGTCGATTCTAATCCTTATGCATTGTTTTGCTTATCCAATAGTTTGATTTTTCTAGTCACTGCTGTGGCGTATGCGTAGTGAAACCTTATTGCGCCTGATACCAGGTTTACCAAACTCAATACTTGTTACAATATATGCCTTTACTCATAGATGCTAGTAAAAGTCATTCGAGTTTCTTAGGCATGTCGCTGTAATTCAAATGGATGTGCACTTTTGTGAAATCAAAATTGCTTTGATGTTTAATGAGTAGTGTGGGTACATTCCGAGAGTGTACTATGTGCCAAGAAGTTAAAAAAAATAGAAAGGACTAGCACATGTTGTGAACCCATATACTAAGGATCCTTAAAATTGTGCTCTGCATCAAACTGAATGTGAATACACAACACGGCCTTGTCAACTTGTTGAAAATATTTACTTGTATGTTCAGTTATCTGAGTATATATTTATTAATGAGATCGTGCTTACTTTTTCGATAATTAAGTTTCAAAAATGGAGTACTTGAGTGCAGTATATTTGATTGATTAAGACGAGCGTTTTTTTCCAGTTAGCCTTTTTATTCAGCTTCATTGTATATGTTTTAGACAAATTTCTTCTTGCTAAAATCTATTTTGTTCCCCGCAGGTGTCCTTGTTTCAATTTTAAGAGTTATAACAAAAGCTATATTTCCTCAAGATACCCATGGCCTGAGACAAAGCGCGAACCTTTACTTCATTGTTAGCATTGCAGTAATGCTGTTAAACATAATTTTCTATAACGTGGCTCATAGGCTTCCCGTTATCAAATATTACAAGGACCTCAAAAGCGTGGCCGTAAATGAGGAGAAGGAGCAGAAAGGTGATATCACTGGGAAGCTATGGAGATCGACATTATGGGACATTGTTGGGGCCGTAAAATGGTATGGATCGGGAATCTTGATCATATACGTCGTGACTTTAAGCATTTTTCCTGGATCAGTTACGGAGGATGTTCATTCGGCCATCCTCAAGGACTGGTATCCAATCATTTTAATTGCCGGTTATAATATATTTGACCTGATCGGTAAGACATTGACCCCATTGTATCTCATGGACAATGCTAAAGTTGCTATTGGTGCTTCATTTGGGAGGTTGTTGTTTTTGCCCCTTTTCTACATTTGTCTGCACGGTCCTGAAATTTTCAGGACAGAGATTCCTGTTACAATATTGACGTGTCTTCTGGGCCTTACAAATGGGTACTTCACTTGTGTCTTGATGATTTTGGCCCCGAAAACAGTCCAGATACAGCATGCCGAGACTGCCGGGATCGTCCTCGTGTTGTATCTCATCTTTGGTTTGGCTATTGGTTCAGTTGTGTCCTGGTTTTGGGTCTTCTGATGAATTTAACTGGTATGGGGGAGTTAAAAGTTTGAAATAAAGTTGATATTTCTGCCCCAGAATTTAGCAAAAGTTCGTCAGACAATGGTCTTTTCATTCGTATTTGTTCATATGCCCAGTTTGTTCACATGTTCATAACTGAAATGTTGACTTTTTATGTTTGTAATTAAATTGGCTTCGTGGAGACGGTAGAAATGTGTGATGGCCTTATAATTTTTCTTGCAATACCAGCTCATGTAAACATATATATTGAAAGTTTATTGCAAACTAAATAACATTTCCATCTCCAATTGATTTTTCATGTAAACTTTCAAGTGTGGCAAATTAAATTTTTAGATCATGCATGAGTCTTTTGTGTATAAATATGTTAAAAGATGTTGGTTTATATATTGAAAGTATTGTTTCGTTTGAACTTATTTCTATTTGGAATAGTCGAATCATGTTTAGTTAATGTGCTTGCATTTACTTTGTATGAAATGCAATGTTCTCGTACAATGTTATCAAGAGGACGACCTTTCTATGTCTTACACGGAAAGTTGATAATTGAGGAGAAACTGGAAAATTGTAAAAACATGTGTAAATAGCTTATATGCGCCTAATATTAGACAGATCTACAATTGACCGAACTGTTCACACAATTCTTTGCGTATTCGTTGTCTATATGTCACATAGTTTATTACATAATTTGTACGCACTTCATCAATTAGCTTCGCCTATATGTCGCAGATTTTATAGTATAATGATATCCCCACTTGTTCAATTATTTAGTTGAACATATAATTATTTTGCACTTGCTCAATTAACTTCATCTATCTGGCGCATAGTTTATGGGATAATGAGATCACTCTTGCTTGATTAACTTCTCTTGTCTATAGCATCGTTTATCGCATAATTGTTTGGCACTTGCTCAATTAACGTCGCTTGTCTGTCGTATAGTTTATCGCATAATGATCTCGCACTTGCTATATTATCTTCACATGTCTATCGCATATTTAATTGCATAGTTATTTCACAATTCATTAATTATTTTTGTCTGTATGTCGCATAACTATTTTGCACTTCATCAATTAAATGTGTTTGTTTGTTTGTTTCACACTTCATCAATTATCTTCGCATGTCTGTCGCATAGTTTATCACATAATTTGTTTTTCCTAGTGGTGAAAAATTTAACTTGTTAATAGGCGGTGTGAAAAATTTAGCAACCTTTAGAGTGAGGTAAAAAACATAGCAACCTTTGACTCAACTTTTTTATAGACAAGCTCGATTAGATGTTTGAGTTTGGATCGTTTAAAGATATAAGCGATTCGAGCTCAAACTTTCAGAAGTGAAATAGAACTATGTTAGCAGACAACTCGATTCGAATAACAAACCACATATTTTCAGCTCTGGAGTGAAAAAATAAAAAAATAAAAAACTCTGGCAACACCCATAAATAGTAAATGAATCACCTTAGACTACAAGTTTATTCTTATAGGGTCACCAATATATGCATGCCACTGAGCATATTAACACGTGGCCACCGAAGGTAAAGAGCATTTCTCGGAGTTATATATACAATACATATACATTCATGTAATTTTCACTTGATGGTGCTTAATTCTCTCTCTCTCTCTCTCTCTCTCTATATATATATAT